TACTCACAAACAAATGTGAATCAAAATCATTAACCACCTCCCGCCCGCCATATAGTCCAATGACGGGCGCAAGGTGGTTCCCTCGTTCTGACAGGACGTCATATGACGTCCTTCCATTCTCACCGTGCATGCGCGGCTCAGGGAGCGCGCAGCACAGCGATCGGCGGTGCGCTGTGTCCCTCTGACACAGCGAATCACCGATCCACGGAAAGAGCCGAAGATGTCGGCTCGGTCATGTGATCAGCTGTGTCCAATCACAGCTGATCTCTCCTCTCGAGCTGTCACACTGACAGCTCGAGAGGAGAGGAGAGCCAGTAATCGGCATTCTGCGGAGGGGACAGGTACACTGATCATCAGGGCACTGATGATCAGTGTGCCCTGATGATCAGTGTGACCTCAGAAGTGCCACCTGTCAGTGTCCATCAGTGCCAGCTGTCAGTGCTGAACAGTGCCACATGCCAGTGCCCATCAGTGCCACATCAATGCCACATATCAGTGCCTACGAGTGCACATCAGTTCCCATCTGAGCTGCCTTTCAGTGTCACCCATCAGTGCCAGTCAGTGCCACCTATCAATGCCAATCAGTGCCACCTATCAGTGCCAGTCAGTGTCGCTTATCAGTGCCGCCTATCAGTGCCAGTCAGTGCCGCCTATCAGTGCCAATTAGTGTCAGCTAACAGTGCCACCTAACAGTACCAGTCAGTGCCACCTATCAGTGTCAGTCACTGCCACCTATCAGTGCCGCCTATCAGTGCCATATATCAGTGCTGCCTTTCAGTGCCCATCAGTGATGCCTGTCAATGCCCATCAGTGCCACCTACCAGTGCCTCCTCATCAGTGCCCATCAGTGCCACCTATCAGTGTCCATCAGTGCATCTTATCAGTGGCCATCACTACAGCCTCATTAGCGCACATCAGTGAAGGAGAAAAATCACTTATTTATAAAATGTTATAACAAAAACTAAGAAAAAACTTTTTTTTTCAAAATTTTCTGTGGTTTTTGGTTTGTTTAAGAAAAAATAAAAAACCCAGAGGTGATTACATACCACTAAAATAAAGCTATATCTGTCACAAAAAAATGATAAAAATTTCATATGGGTACAGTGTTGCATGACCACGCAACTGTCATTCAAATGCGCTGAGAGCTGGAAATTGGCCTGGGCAGGAAGGGGGTATAGGCCCTGTAGGCTAGTGGTTAAAGACAATATTGCTTGATCCCCTGCATGTGCTCCTTGTCTCGGGCTCTGATGATGAGGGGATAACCCTTGAAAGGTGTAAGCCAATTAGATCCAGGTGGCATCCTCCCAAGGCAAGGAGCATGTGCAGAGAATTGAGCAACATTTGTCTTTCATGATTTTGAAGAGCTTGTAGTTCACATTTGTTTGTGAGTATACATCCATTATGCTTTTATCAATAAATGGTTTATTGTGGTAATACGCTAGGCTGGTGCACCCTCTCTGTTTTGCTTTTGTAGTGCCATGATATCAGAGCATCCCCAATCCTAAGAGGGCAGTAAAGCGTGGTGATCTTTTTCCATATTTAGGGAAGTGATTCGAACATCACACTTGAGCTCATGAGGGTGCTCTTATTGCTTCCCAGGACAGTTATGCTGGTATTGTGAGATGGGGAAACAGCTCTCATTGTTTGAACACGGTTTGTGAGGAAGTAAATTAATGTTTTGACTGACATTCTGCGGTTTAGCCACAAGATGTCACTATTTTTCTAACACAGCCTCAGACTGCATAGATATTTGTATATTCATGAAAAGGTGGGGTTTTGCACACAGAGTTGGAGAGAACAGGAAGGAGAGGGAGAAGCCATGTTTTGGAGCATGATGAATAAGGGGCCGTGTGAGCTGAGAATCTGATGACATCCAGGTGTGAAAGCGTCCCTCAGTAACCAGAGCTGCAGCTGAGTGAAGCTGATGAGATTGCTGCCAGGAAGCTGATGAGATTGCTGCCAGGAATGCTGATGAGATTGCTGCCAGGAATGCTGATGAGATTGCTGCCAGGAAGGCTGATGAGAACAGAGGAACTAAGCAACATATACGGCGAGACCGCATGCTTGTTAGAGAGACATTTGTTCTGTTCAGAGTCACCAGCAGATGCAAAGCAGACCCGGGTTGGTAAGATTGTGCACGCACCTCATTTCAGTGTTGGCGCCTTGAGACTGAGTCCAGGTCTATAGTTAGTTATTTAGGGTCTCTGTATGAGGCCACAAGTGTTGTTACTGATTATTGAAAAGACTCCACAACTTAAAGTGACATTTCACATTGGAGAGCTGATAAAATCCTACAAACTCAAGCCAGACTGGCATTTTGCTCAGAAGGAATACTCAGGCACGTGCTACAGGACCAGTTATGGGAGAGGGAATACTGTAGATTTGTGTAAGATTGTAAGCTGTTGTGCTGCACCGCAGGCTAGCCCATACCGTACACCCATACACTGATTCCTGCTCTTTTAGGGTAATAACAGGTAAGGTGTGGCAGCTTATTTGTGCCCGCCAGTAGGTAAATTACTTCACTTTCTACCTTCATCCATCAGAAGGCGCCGTGCTGTGCAGCACAAGGGTCTCAGCCTTTGGGCTGGGTGTATGTAAATTTATTGTATGTTTCCAGCATTTGTGGTTGTGTTTATTTGCCACATCTAAGTAAAATTCTGTTGTGGCAAAAGCTGGTGTTGGGGTTGCTTTCCTCGTTCGTGACTTCACTGTATCCTGGGGAGCCCACCCCGGTACACGGCTTACAGTATTAAGCTAGATAATATAACAGACAGGTAGGCCTGTATGTAGGGGATACTGAAAACTTGCTTCCTGATGCAATACATCTTTGGTTATTACTTGGGTATGCAAATTAATTAGCAAAAGTCAGTGATCATGGTTCTATGACAGAAAATCCAGAACCTTGTGTTTGAAAAAGTCATCACCACCATCCATTCAATACTAGAAACAATTTGTGAATTCTAACTTACCATTATACAAGGACACTTACATCAACAGGCTGCCCCGAGAAGTTTGAGAAAGTCTGGTGAAAATGGGTTGAGGATGCCTCCATTACTTAGATGCCTGATACTGCTTAGTATCCCAAGACAAGCCCCTGAACATCTGGATTTTTCTGTCTTTTACTGAGCATCTTTGGTTCTTGGGAATAATTACCTGATCTGGGCAAGTCTGCCTCTTATTTTCCCCTCTTTAGTAGTACGAGCCATACACATACATTTTATTGGTTTGTATTAAGTGCCTTGTTGGTACACAGTATTTAAACCATTTATGATACCCAGTAGCCCCATGTACAACTTTTGTGTGTATATCAATCTTGTATTTCAAATCAATCTTCTATGATAAATTCACCACATGTTGCACACTTGTCCACCACAAACTGCTCACCTGGTACTTAGGTCTATTAAAACTAGGTTAGGGTGTGCTTTCCCCTTTAAGGGGATAATATAGCCTGGATAGATGCTGCAAACCCAGATGGATCCAAGCATTTCTTTCAGTATTTCATACACCTCATATTCTGTTCCTTGAAAAGGAGATCTTAATAGATCTAAGCACCAGGTGCAAGCAAAACCATATACATGTGGCGCATAGGTGAATTGTGCTGAGTCCTAGGCAATGAATGGTGCTCAGGATCCAATGTATGGGAAACATGCACAGGGATGGCAGCTCCTCAGAGAGTGAAGGAATCTCTGCAGCAAACAAAAAACAAACAAACAGAGAGTGCTCATCTGGGTGCAGCTTTACAAGCAAAGTTTTATTAAAAAACAAACATAGTAGAAACTCACATTTAGAAAGACTTCATGCACATATCACTATGTCAATCAACCAGTCTCAGCCTGTTGCATCCTTGCTGGATATCAAAGGTATGTCACTGCCGTGAACCGGGAAGCAAGCCATCGTGTAGTAGCAGAGGAGTGAGCCGCCGTGCATAGGCAAAAAAGCTGAAGGACGCTAAAGGGCCATGGAGCGCAGGGCCCCGATGGCAGAAAGTCAGCATCAGGAAAGTAAAGGGGCATGGCTAATGCATTTCAGAGCCATCCAGCTCCTTTGTCAAAACCTAAGGCGCCAAAATACCGGCCATTATATATACTGATTTTTGTTTTCTGAGCACTAGGTGAGAAGTCTGTGGTGGAAGTATGCAACACGTAATGATTTTATCATAGAGTATTGATTTGGAGCACAAGATTGATATCTACACAAAAGTTGGGACTGTCACAATTTTTAATACATGGGACTTCTATTTTTCTGTATGTCACAAATATGTGTATATAACTGCAACGTTCTATCATAAGAGGTTTAAATAGTGTGGAACACTTTAGGATTATAGCGGCAGCAGTGGTGTAAAATAAAAGGATCACTAGTGAGATATATTGAGATTATCACATATTTTTATTTTTAATCTACCTAGATTTTTTTATTTTATTGTGTTTTGGCAGTGGTTGTGCAGGATATTTACTTTTATACACATGTGTTGGTACCTAGTGCCAAAGTTCCGTTGTTCAGCCTGATGCCTGATGACCCAGTGTACGCTATCCAGCCTGATGACCCCATCCAGCCTGATGACCCGGTGTTCGTGATCCAGCCTGATGACCTGATCCAGCCTGATGACCCGGTGTTCGTGATCCAGGCTGATGACCCGATCCAGCCTGATGACCCGATCCAGCCTGATGACCCGATCCAGCTGATGACCCGGTGCTCGTGATCCAGCCTGATGACCCGATCCAGCCTGATGACCCGATCCAGCCTGATGACCGGTGTGTTCGTGATCCAGCCTGATGGCCCGATCCAGCCTGATGACCCGGTGTTCGTGATCCAGCCTGATGACCCGATCCGGCCTGATGACCCGATCCAGCCTGATGACCCGGTGTTCGTGATCCAGCCTGATGACCCGAACCAGCCTGATGACCCAGTCCGGCCTGGTGCCTCGGTGCCCGTGGTCTGGTGCCTCGGTGCCCGTGGTCCGGCCCGGTGCCTCGGTGCCCGTGGCCCGGCTTGGTGACTCGTGCCCGCTGTCGTGCCTGGTGACTCGGTGCCCGCTGTCATGCCAGATGACTCGGTGCCCGCTGTTCTGCCAAATGACTCGTTGCCCGCTGTCGGGCTTGGTGACCCGGTGCCCGCTGTTCTGCCAGATGACTCGGTGCCCGCTGTCGAGCCAGATGACTCGATGCTCGCTGTCGAGCTTGGTGACCCGGTGCCCGCTGTTCTGCCAGATGACTCGGTGCCCGCTGTCGAGTTTGGTGACTCGGTGCCTGCTGTTGTGCCAGATGACTCTGTGCCCGCTGTCGTGCCAGATGACTCGGTGCCCGCTGTCGTGCCAGATGACCCGCTGTCGTGCCAGATGACCCGGTGCCCGCTGTCGTGCCAGTTGACTCGGTGCCCGCTGTCGAGCTTGGTGACTCGGTGCTCGCTGTTCTGCCAGATGACTGGGGGTGCCCACTGTTCTGCCAGATGACTTGGTGCCCGCTGTTCTGCCAGATGACTCGGTGCCCGCTGTCGAGCTTGATGCCTTGGTGCCTGCTGCCTCACCTGATGGCCCGGTGCCTGCTGCCTCATCTGATGGCCCGGTGCCTGCTGCCTCATCTGATGGCCCGGTGCCTGCTGCCTCATCTGATGGCTCGGTGCCTGCTGCTCCGCCTGATGGCCTGGTGCCTCGCCTGATGGCCCGGTGCCTGCTGCCTCGCCTGATAACCCGGTGCCCACGGCTCCGCCTGATGGCTCGGTGCCCGCTGTCGTGCCAGATGACTCGGTGCCCGCGGTCATGCCAGATGACTCGGTGCCCGCGGTCGTGCCAAATGACTCGGTGCCCGCTGTTCTGCCAGATGACTCGGTGCCCGCTGTTCTGCCAGATGACTCGGTGCCTGCTGTCGAGCTTGATACCTTGGTGCCTGCTGCCTCACCTGATGGCCCGGTGCCCGCTGCTCCACCTGATGGCCTGGTGCCTGCTGCCTTGCCTGATGGCCCGGTGCCTGCTGGCTCACCTGATGGCCCGGTGCATGCGGCTCGGCCTGATGGCCCGGTGCCCACTGCCTCGCCTGATGGCCCGGTGCCCGCTGCTCCGCCTGATGGCCTGGTTCCTGCTGCCTCTTCTGATGGCCCGGTGCCTGCTGCCTCGCCTGAGGGCCCGGTGCCCGCTGCTCCGCCTGATGGCCTGGTGCCTGCTGCCTCTTCTGATGGCCCGGTACCTGCTGCTCCGCCCGATGGCCCGGTGCCCGCTGCTCCGCCTGATGGCTCGGTGCCCGCTGTCGTGCCAGATGACTCGGTGCCCGCTGTTGTGCCAGATGACTCGGTGCCCGCTGTTGTGCCAGATGACTCGGTGCCCGCTGTCGTGCCAGATGACTCGGTGCCCGCTGTCGAGCATGGTGACCCTGTGCCCGCTGTTTTGCCAGATGACTCGGTGCCCACTGTCGAGCCAGATGACTCGGTGCCCGCTGTCGAGCTTGGTGACCCGGTGCCCGCTGTTCTGCCAGATGACTCGGTGCCCGCTGTCGAGCTTGGTGACCCAGTGCCCGCTGTTCTGCCAGATGACTCGGTGCCCGCTGTCGAGCTTGGTGACTCGGTGCCCGCTGTTGTGCCAGATGACTCGGTGCCCGCTGTTGTGCCAGATGACTCGGTGCCCGCTGTCATGCCAGATGACTCGGTGCCCGCTGTCGTGCCAGATGACCCGGTGCCGCTGTCATGCCAGATGACCCGCTGTCGTGCCAGATGACCCGGTGCCCGCTGTCGTGCCAGTTGACTCGGTGCCTGCTGTCGAGCTTGGTGACTCGGTGCCCGCTGTTCTGCCAGATGACTCGGTGCCCGCTGTTCTGCCAGATGACTCGGTGCCCGTTGTCGAGTTTGATGCCTTGGTGCCTGCTGCCTCACCTGATGGCCCGGTGCCTGCTGCCTCATCTGATGCCCCGGTGCCTGCTGCCTCATCTGATGCCCAGGTGCCTGCTGCTTCGTCTGATGCCCGATGCCCGCTGCTCCGCCTGATGGCTCGGTGCCCGCTGTTGTGCCAGATGACTCGGTGCCCGCTGTCGTGCCAGATGACTCGGTGCCCGCGGTCGTGCCAGATGACTCGGTGCCCGCAGTCATGCCAGATGACTCGGTGCCTGCTGTTCTGCTAGATGACTCGGTGCCCGCTGTCGTGCCAGGTGACTCAGTGCCGCTGTCGTGCCAGATGACTCAGTGCCCGCTGTCGTGCCAGATGACCCGGTGCCCGCTGTCGTGCCAGTTGACTTGGTGCCCGCTGTCGTGCCAGTTGACTCGGTGCTCGCTGTTCTGCCAGATGACTCGGTGCCCGCTGTTCTGCCAGATGACTCGGTGCCCGCTGTTGAGCTTGATGCCTCGGTGCCTGCTGCCTCACCTGATGGCCCGGTGCCCGCTGCTCCACCTGATGGCCTGGTGCCTCGCCTGATGGCCCGGTGCCTGCTGCCTCGCCTGATAACCCGGTGCCCACGGCTCCGCCTAATGGCCTGGTGCCCACTGCCTCGCCTGATGGCCCGGTGCCCGCTGCCTCACCTGATGGCCCGGTGCCTGCTGCCTCGCCTGATGGCCCGGTGCCTGCGGCTCCGCCTGATGGCCCGGTGCCCGCTGCTCCGCCTGATGGCCTGGTGCCTGCTGCCTCTTCTGATGGCCCAGTGCCCGCTGCTCTGCCTGATGGCTCGGTGCCCGCTGTCATGCCAGATGACTCGGTGCCCGCTGTCATGCCAGATGACTCAGTGCCCGCTGTCGTGCCCGCTGCCTCGCTTGATGGCCCAGTGCCCGCTGCCCAGCCGGACATGCCTCTGCCTGCTGCCCAGCCTGACGTGCCTCTGCCTGCTGCCCATCCTGACGTGCCTCTGCCTGCTGCCCAGCCTGACGTGCCTCTGCCTGCTGCCCAGCCTGACGTTCCTCCGCCCGCTGCCCAGCCTGATGTACCGGCTCCTGATGCCCAGCCTGCTTCTGGAAATCCTGTGTCCAGCAATCTGCCTTCCTGCGGTCTCCTGCAAAAAGATAGGCCTATCAGCAGGAGACCCAGCCAATCGCTTGATTCAGGCAGTGGGATGTCCAGCCAGTTGCCGGACCCAGGCGGTGGAACATTTGGGCCATTACAGACTGTTTGGAGCGTCCTGAGGCCACTCCTTGAGGGGGGGGTACTGGCAGGAATGGACTTGCCAATGGTGGTGGGACTCACCTGCCTTGTGGGCTGCAGTACCACGGCTGGCCAGCGGGTGCTCTCAGCAACCAGAAGCTCACTCCTGCAGTCGGCCATCACCTGAGGCTGATTGCAGGAGGTGTATTTAAGGAATGGCCAGACCTGCAGTCAGTGCCTTGGTGTATGTTTCCCATGAGCCCCTGTACCTGCATCCTGTCTGCTTCCTGCCTGATTCCTGATTCTGCTTGATCCTGACCCTGAATGAACTCCGCCTGTCATGACTTCAGTTATTCCTGACCACTCTCCAGCCTGCTCCTTTGGTACCTTGTCTGCCTGATTGTTCCTGACCCGGCCTGTCTGACTACGCTCTGCCTACTCCTTTGTGTCTTGTCTGCCCGATGATTCCTGACCCGGCCCGCCTGACCACTCCACCTCACCAGCCCTGACTGCTCTTATCTGTGTACATTCCGTTATCAATTGGAGGTTTGGTTTTGTTATATTGTGCACTATATTTGTGTATAACCCTTAATAAATTCTATTGTTACACCATACTTGAGCCTGCGTTTCCCTGTGTCAGTTCACGCATCTCTGGTCTTACCGGGAGCCCTGACAAATTGGTTGTAAGTTAAGAAAACTGCACCCGGTGGGGACCTTCCTGATAATGCATTACTTTGAGATAATCCAAAAGTCTCCCAGCTAGCCTCCATGCAGAACACTGCAGCTTGGAGGACCAGAGGAGTATTGACTCTGTCTGATATTTATGTCAACAATCAGTTGTGCACATGTACTGAATTCAAAGAGAAATTTGCTCTTACAAGGATATTTTTTTAACACAATTTACAGCTGCAAGTCACTTTAACCACCTAATATCAGGCCTTAGATATTCAAATGTCTCAGTACCTTCCTACTTCTTTCCTGTTGTTTCTCTGGACACTGTATCTCTGGATTTTTTTCCTGTAATGGCAAGTATTTCTTTATTGTGCTAGTATTTGTGTTGAGTTGCATGGTTTTTCCACCCCCGCCTTTAGTGGATCTGTTCTTCATATTAGCTGCACTTAGCTGCAGGTTTTCCACTCAATGTTCAAAATACAATATTCTCACACCTATAGAAGACCCATCTTCCTTGTTCTTCTACAATGACTTTTACAGTCCCAAATAGCATTTATCGCACAAACCTATTAGCAGCACACTACTTGGCCCCTGAGATACCCCGGCTTCTTGATCTTCTGACCGCCCAGCCCCACTGCTCAGGTATACAATTACTAACAACAGAAGAAAAAAGCGACTTAAATCTCCTGCCATTGCCCACGGCAACTCACCATCACCCTCCGAGCCTGGGGTTCTGGATCCATCTGTCTCTATGCGCTCTTCTATCCCAGTCGGGATCTCATGCTCCAGTTTGTTAAATCGCCTGAGCGGGGGTCTGGGCGGGGGCTCAAGATGTCCTGAAGTCCTGTGTCCTCGGGTTTCTCCTGGCCTCCGGGTCTCCTGCAGAGTGTCCCTCTTCTCCGGCCGTTGGGGTGTCCAGCCACCTTAGCATATCCCCACACTGGCCACCCTTTCTGGGGGCCTTCCTTGCCCGGGCGCCTCCTCTATCCACCCCTCTCAGCACCTCCTTCGCTCCAGGGAACTTCACTCCCCAGTTGGCCGGCGCCGGTCTCTCCGGGAGCTCTGGGACGTCACGTCAGCCCCAGACCGCTGCCACTCGGTCCCCCTCCGCCAGAGATCACCACTGCCACATGACCGCCATCGCGGGAACACCAAACAGCACTGACCAGGATCACCAGCAGCAGTATCAAGTAGGATTACATTGTGGGGTGTAGTCAGATCAGGCCCCCAGACATTCTCCTCATGGTGGGCGTCGGGAGCTCCTGCTCTGAAAGTATGATGGGGAGCAGTCTAGATTGTCATTTGTAGTACGGGAAGAGAATCAGATTAATGAATCTATAAACAATGACAGTGTAAATGATCAAAATGTCTCAGGACAACAGGGAGTAATATCACAAATCCCCCACAAAAATAAAGATGGCGGAAATGTTTGCAAAACTGGAACTTTCTATGGAAAATGAAATGGCAGTGATTCATAAGGATTTTGGACTAATGTTAACAAGGGTGGAAGAAGTGGAGGAGAAACCGGAGACACAGGCTCAGCAGATATATAATCTGGAAACGCAGTTGGTAGAGATGCGAAGGGAACAGAGGAAGCTGTCATTTAAACTGGAGGACCAAGAAAATAGAGAGAGAAGAAATAATCTAAGGATTAGGGGCCTCCCAGAGGATACACAGGAAGAAGACCTCCGGGAAAAAATAAAGAAGGTGTTTAACCCATTGACAGGTAGACTAGCCACAGATCCTCTGAAGATTGAGAGAATACATAGATTAAGACGCATATCAGGAGTAAGATATACCCCTAGAGACGTGTTTGTTCGATTCCATCATTATGAGGACAGAGAAAGAATATGTAAAAAATTGTGGAAGACCCCAGAAATTAAATTTGGAGAAACAAAATTACAAGTCTTTGCAGACATTGCCTCAGAGACATTAGCTAGAAGAAGATTACTGAAATCCTTTTTGGATCAGATGAGGGGAAAAAGAATTCGATATAATTCGGGATTCCCAGCATGTCTGATTGGGTGGAAAGACAGGAAATCAG